CTGATAGAGAGGTATGGGCTACCACTGGGAGAGGGGTACAGGCTACCACTGGGAGAGAGGTACAGGCTACCACTGGGAGAGGGGTATGGGCTACCACTGAGAGAGAGGTACGGGCTACCACTGGGAAAGAAATACAGGGTACCACTGGGAAAGAAATACAGGGTACCACTGGGAGAGAGGTACTTGCTACCACTGGGAGAGGGGTACGGGCTACCACTGGGAGAGAAATACAGGGTACCACTGGGAGAGAGATACAGGGTACCACTGGGAGAGGAGCACGGGCTACCACTGAGAGAGGGGCACGGGCTACCACTGAGAGAGAGGTACGGGCTACCACTGGGAGAGGGGTACGGGCTACCACTGGGAGAGAGATACAGGGTACCACTGGGAGAGGGGCACGGGCTACCACTGAGAGAGGGGTACGGGCTACCACTGGGAGAGGGGTACGGGCTACCACTGGGAGAGGGGTACGGGCTACCACTGGGAGAGGGGTACGGGCTACCACTGAGAGAGGGGTATGGGCTGCCATCAAGAAGTAAGGCAGAAGGGGCAGCTGTCAAAGTCATATAGAAATTGGAGAATACACTCCAAGCATGCACTCCTATACTTTTTGTCCTGCACAGTATTTCCAGCTCTTCATTATACATATTTATCGATTAGATCCCGGAGGGAGAGAGGTATACCTCTGTAAAGATTCCCTGATCAACAACTCCTGAGATGTCAGCCAGGCACAGAGAACACATTGTTTTCAGTAAGTCAGGTCTGACCCTTACACTGAGACTGAATTGGGCAGCAATGCACACCCATTGTGCAGCACTACTAAGAAGGAAGCAGTGTCTGCCTATATAATGAACACACATACCCATCACATGTATGACTGCAGAACGTATAGAGAAGGATTCTAAAACGTTAGTAGACACGGATGAGATGAATACATGGAATGTATGTGTAATAATAGACATAAAAACATTGTAGAATATGTTAGTGACATCAGATGAATTGATCCCATTCGTCTTTCCGTCAGGCGCATGTTCCCCGAGTTCTCGGTCTCCCTCTCTGGCCTGGATCCGCACCGCCTGTACTCCCTGTGTGTCCAGGCCCTGCCCGAGGGTGAGAACCGCTACAAGTGGAGGGATGGAGTATGGAGCAGGAGCGGCCGAGCAGAACCGGGACCGCCAACCCGCTTCTACCTCCACCCGGAATGTCCAGCTCCTGGTCATCGGTGGATGGAGAGGCCCATCTGCTTCAACAAGATCCGACTGACCAACAACACCCTCAATCAGGGGGGGCAGGTAGGGAGTAGGGATGAGGAGAGTGGTTTCAGGGAAAATGATTGTGCTGCAAAATCATGATTTTGATTGGTTGGTATTTTGGCAAAATTAGCCTCCAATTGCACCATATTTTCTGCTTAGGCAAAATTTTTTTGGAAAACAAATACGCCTTAAAAACATCTTTCTATGTAACTCTGCAAAGCATTTTATATTTTTTTCCTCATTTTGTTTGAGTACTTTATTATAATTTCATCATTTTGAGTTTTTTTTTAAGTATTTTTCTCAGTTTGTTTTGGTAATGTATAGAATTGTAAGGGTTTTTTTCCCCTAATGTTTTTGAGGGTTTTTTCCTCATTCTATATTTTTTCCTCATTTTATTTGAGCATTTTATTTTTTTATGCTTTTTTTCCCTCATTTTGTTTGGCTATTTTATTGTACTTTATGTTTTTCCTCATTTTGTTTGAGTATTTTATTATTTTTTATGTTTTGTTTTCTTTTTGTTTGACTAATTTTTTCCCCTCATTTTACATTTTTTTATTTTGTGTGAGCATTTTATTGTTTTTTAACATTTGTTTTGTTTTTTTCCTTATTTTACTTGAGTATTTTTTTTTTGTGTGTTTTTTTTTCCTTCATTTTGTTAATTTCATTTTTTTTTAAACTCGTTTTGTTTGAATATTTTATTGTTCTTGTTTTTTTTTTCTTCATTTGGTGTGAACATTTTCTTGTTTAATTTTTTTTCTCTTTATATATTCTTACTTGAGTGATTTATCTTTTTTATTTTTTTGCCCAAATTTTGTTTATTTTTTTATTTTCTTCAGTTTATTTGAATTTTCTTTCATTTTTTTCCTCTTTTTTTTGTGTATCTTGTTTTATTTTTATTTTTTCCCTCATTTTGATTTTTTTATGTTTATTTCCCTCATTTTACTTGAGTATTTTATAATCATTTATGTTTTTTTCCCTGGTTTTGTTTGTCGCTGATCGTTAGATTGACTTCTCTTTAGTGGGAGTGGCCATACTGTAGATGAAACAAATTTGGCCTGCTGAAGTGGCTGAATTTCGATCTATCTACGGCCGGCTCTGGGCTTTATAATGGAGGTTTGGTTGAGTGTTTGGCTCTACTTACCGGCTCGTGTGATGTTTGTGTCTCCCCAGATCGTTCTTCAGTCCATGCATCGTTACTCCTTGTGCCTCTACATCATCCCCACCTCCAATGGCGGATCTCCACCCCGACCGGCGACCACCGTCTCCTTCCCTGAGACATCTTTTATTGCAGTGACCAGCTACCAGAACCCCAGGGTCAGAGAAGTCCCCATCACATCTCTTCTTCCCACCACTGCCACCAATCTGTACCAGACCTGAACATATCTGACCACACACATTACAATCTGATTGTACAATCTTCTCTAGATCTACCAAAAACGACTTAGTGCAAGGGCACTGCATGATTAGAAGCATGCTTTGACCAGTTCTAATGGTTACATCGTTGTTGGTACCTTTAATACTTTGCTTTCCCTGTTTTTACATTGGCCCCGCCCACTTTTGTGCACTGGAGTCATGCTGAATGGAGCGTAGCGTGCGTGTACAGTGCAGCTCACAGCAAACTCAGGATAGCTTTCATGTTATTATTATGTTATTATTTATCGACTCCAGTTAAAGTGTTACTAAACCCACAACAGTACAATCAGTCTGTAGATGCAGTAAAGCGTGCTTGTTATACTCCCTGTAGGACCTAAGGGGTTAATCTTCTGCATTGTGTAAAAAGGATGTTTGATCCTGTCTTCTCTGATCCTCCCCTTCTTCTACTGTCCCCAATCCATCTGCTGATAGTATAGAGCTGTGGGAGTCACTCTGCACATGCTCAGATTGGTATGTATTGCTAGAGAGGATTTTGTTTCCTTTGGGAGAGTGCATGGGATCAGCACAGGTCCAATCAGTATTGTCTAGACAGAGGGTCAGGGGTTGTACAGCCTCATAGGACAGTCAGAAGGGAATGAAAACTCCTCCTACAATCTTTAACCAGTGCTCAGCTGGACACTGATAGAAGTCACAAGACTGATATATACTGCTGATGAGAAAAGATATTTAGCAGTTTATATTTACTAAAATAATTGCATTTCCATGTTCTGTGTACTGTGGGAGACCAGATATAGTGAATGTGGGGTCTGGGGAGAGCGGATATAGTGAATGAAGAGTCCGGGGAGACCAGATATAGTTAATGCAGGGTCCGGGGAGAGCGGATATAGTGAATGCGGGGTCCGGGGAGAGCGGATATAGTGAATGCAGGGTCCGGGGAGAGCGGTTATAGTGAATGCGGGGTCCGGGGAGAGCGGATATAGTGAATGCAGGGTCCGGGGAGAGCGGATATTGTGAGTGCGGGGTCTGGGGAGAGCGGATATAGTGAATGCAGGGTCCGGGGAGACCGGATATAGTGAATGCCGGGTCCGGGGAGAGCGGATATAGTGAATGCGGGGTCCGGGGAGAGCGGATATAGTGAATGCGGGGTCCGGGGAGAGCGGATATAGTGAATGCGGGGTCCGGGGAGAGTGGATATAGTGAATGCAGGGTCCGAGGAGACCAGATATAGTGAATGCGGGGTCCGGGGAGAGGGGATATAGTGAATGCAGGGTCCGGGGAGACCAGATATAGTGAATGCAGGGTCCGGGGAGACCAGATATAGTGAATGCAGGGTCCGGGGAGAGCGGATATAGTGAATGCTGGGTCCGGGGAGACCAGATATAGTGAATGCAGGGTCCGAGGAGACCAGATATAGTGAATGCGGGGTCCGGGGAGAGCGGATATATAGTGAATGCAGGGTCCGGGGAGAGCGGATATAGTGAATGCAGGGTCCGGGGAGAGCGGATATAGTGAATGCTGGGTCCGGGGAGACCAGATATAGTGAATGCGGGGTCCGGGGAGAGCGGATATAGTGAATGCAGGGTCCGGGGAGAGCGGATATAGTGAATGCGGGGTCCGGGGGGAGCGGAGATATAGTGAATGCAGGGTCCGGGGAGAGCGGATATAATGAATGCAGGGTCCGAGGAGACCAGATATAGTGAATGCGGGGTCCGGGGAGAGCGGATATAGTGAATGCAGGGTCCGGGGAGAGCGGATATAGTGAATGCAGGGTCCAGGGAGAGCGGATATAGTGAATGCTGGGTCCGGGGAGACCAGATATAGTGAATGCAGGGTCCGAGGAGACCAGATATAGTGAATGCGGGGTCCGGGGAGAGCGGATATAGTGAATGCAGGGTCCGGGGGGAGAGCGGATATAGTGAATGCGGGGTCCGGGGGGAGCGGATATAGTGAATGCAGGGTCCGGGGAGAGCGGATATAATGAATGCAGGGTCCGGGGAGAGCGGATATAGTGAATGCGGGGTCCGGGGAGAGCGGATATAGTGAATGCAGGGTCCGGGGAGAGCGGATATAGTGAATGCGGGGGGGGGGGGAGCGGATATAGTGAATGCGGGGTCCGGGGGGAGCGGAGATATAGTGAATGCAGGGTCCGGGGAGAGCGGATATAATGAATGCAGGGTCCGGGGAGAGCGGATATAGTGAATGCGGGGTCCGGGGAGAGCGGATATAGTGAATGCGGGGTCCGGGGAGAGCAGATATAGTGAATGCGGGGTCCGGGGAGAGCAGATATAGTGAATGCTGGGTCTGGGGAGAGCGGATATAGTGAATGCTGGGTGCGGGGAGAGCAGATATAGTGAATGCAGGGTCCGGGGAGAGCGGATATAGTGAATGCGGGGTCCGGGGAGAGCGGATATAGTGAATGCAGGGTCTGGGGTTTAAAAACACTTTAATATTGTAGATTAGTCCTTCCTTCTGTCATAGACCCCTCCCACTTACCCTTCGCTCTGTGCTCTCCCCAACAGCTCTCCCTGCTGAAGATTGAGGAGAACCCATTCGCCAAAGGGATAAAATACTTCAAGAATCAACAAGAAAGGTAAGAGCATCCTATATCGTTTTCTGTATTGTGTCCTAACCTAACTGCTAGATACAGGTGTATTATATTATACATGGTGATCATATCCCCCCCTTATGTATTATACATGGAGATCATATCCCCCCTTATGTATTATACATGGTGATCATATCCCCCCTTATGTATTATACATGGTGATCATATCCCCCCTTATGTATTATACATGGTGATCATATCCCCCCTTATGTATTATACATGGTGATCATATCCCCCCTTATGTATTATACATGGAGATCATATCCCCCCTTATGTATTATACATGGAGATCCTATCCCCCTTATGTATTATACATGGTGATCCTATCCCCCCTTATGTATTATACATGGAGATCATATCCCCCTTCTGTATTATACATGGAGATCATATCCCCCTTATGTATTATACATGGTGATCATATCCCCCCTTATGTATTATACATGGAGATCATATCCCCCCTTATGTATTATACATGGAGATCATATCCCCCCTTATGTATTATACATGGAGATCATATCCCCCCTTATGTATTATACATGGAGATCATATCCCCCCTTATGTATTATACATGGTGATCATATCCCCCTTATGTATTATACATGGAGATCATATCCCCCCCTTATGTATTATACATGGAGATCATATCCCCCCTTATGTATTATACATAGAGATCATATCCCCCCTTATGTAATATACATGGAGATCATATCCCCCCTTATGTATTATACATGGAGATCATATCCCCCCTTATGTATTATACATGGAGATCATATCCCCCCTTATGTATTATAGAAATATATTAAAAAGCAAGGGTCCCAACACTGAACCTTGGGTACCCCACTGATAACACTGAACCTTGGGGTACCCCACTAACACTGAACCTTGGGGTACACCAATGACACCCCCAGACCATTCAGAGTATGAATCATTAACCACTACTCTCTGAATATGATCTTTTAGCCAGTTTTCTATTAATTTACATTCAGATTTTTCCAGCCCATAGACTTTACCTTACACATTAACTGTAGGGAACTGTGTCAAACACTTTTGCAAAAATCCAAGTATACCACGTCCACCACCACCCCTCTGTCCAAGTATAGCACATCCACCGCCACCCCTCTGTCCAAGTATAGCACATCCACCGCCACCCCTCTGTCCAAGTATAGCACGTCCACCGCCACCCCTCTGTCCAAGTATACCACGTCCACCGCCACCCCTCTGTCCAAGTATAGCACGTCCACCGCCACCCCTCTGTCCAAGTATAGCACGTCCACCGCCACCCCTCTGTCCAAGTATACCACGTCCACAGTCACCCCTCTGTCCAAGTATACCACATCCACAGTCACCCCTCTGTCCAAGTATAGCACGTCCACCGCCACCCCTCTGTCCAAGTATACCACGTCCACAGCCACCCCTCTGTCCAAGTATAGTACATCCACCGCCACCCCTCTGTCCAAGTATAGCACGTCCACCGCCACCCCTCTGTCCAAGTATAGCACGTCCACCGCCACCCCCTGTCCCAAGTATAGCACGTCCACCGCCACCCCTCTGTCCAAGTATACCACGTCCACAGCCACCCCTCTGTCCAAGTATACCACGTCCACCGCCACCCTCTGTCCAAGTATAGCACGTCCACCGCCACCCCTCTGTCCAAGTATAGCACGTCCACCGCCACCCCTCTGTCCAAGTATACCACGTCCACAGCCACCCCTCTGTCCAAGTATACCACGTCCACAGCCACCCCTCTGTCCAAGTATACCACATCCACCGCCACCCCTCTGTCCAAGTATACCACATCCACCGCCACCCCCTCTGTCCAAGTATACCACATCCTCCGCCACCCCTCTGTCCAAGTATATCACATCCACAGCCACCCCTCTGTCCAAGTATACCACATCCTCCACCACCCCTCTGTCCAAGTATACCACATCCTCCGCCACCCCTCTGTCCAAGTATACCACATCCTCCACCACCCCTCTGTCCAAGTATACCACATCCTCCACCACCCCTCTGTCCAAGTATACTACATCCTCCACCACCCCTCTGTCCAAGTATACCACATCCTCCACCACCCCTCTGTCCAAGTATACCACATCCTCTGCCACCCCTCTGCCCATGTATAGCACATCCACCGCCACCCCTCTGTCCAAGTATAGCACGTCCACCACCACCCCTCTGTCCAAGTATACCACATCCTCCACCACCCCTCTGTCCAAGTATACCACATCCTCTGCCACCCCTCTGCCCATGTATAGCACATCCACCGCCACCCCTCTTTCCAAGTATACCACGTCCACCGCCACCCCTCTGTCCAAGTATACCACATCCTCCACCACCCCTCTGTCCAAGTATACCACGTCCACCGCCACCCCTCTGTCCAAGTATACCATGTCCACCACCACCCCTCTGTCCAAGTATACCATGTCCACCACCACCCCTCTGTCCAAGTATACCATGTCCACCGCCACCCCTCTGTCCAAGTATACCACATCCTCCACCACCCCTCTGTCCAAGGTTTTGCTCACCTCCTCATAAAAAGAAATCAGATTTGTGTGACAACTTCTGTCTTTCATGAATCCATGCTGTCTGTTGCTTAAAATATTTTTTTCCAGCAAGAACTCATCTATGTGTCTTGTATTAAACTCTCCAATATCTTCCCAACTATAGAAGTTACACCAGCAGGTGATTTACTGCAGGCAGTAAAGCACAGCCATTGTGTAGTGCTGCAAAGCAGGAGTATATAATGGACAAATACAGTTTCCTCCATGTACATATACTGTATAATGACAAATCTTAGAGATAAAGTTTTTAAAACATTAACAGGCATGGATAACATTTATAATCTGATGACTTTTACATGTAAAATAAATCTTTGCTCTCTTTTTTAAGCTGAGCTGTGGATTGTTCTCTCTTTCAGCCACACGCCGAAAAAAAGGATCTGTGGGCCAAAAGAGAGTGACAGAGACTCAGGTAAGGAATAAAGGGCTGGGTCAGCCTGGACTGTGCTGGCAAACATTCTGCATCCTGGCATTCAAGAGAACAGATATGTCCAGTGAAATGCATGTTCCTGTGTTACCAATATATACCACAAGATGGTGCTGTAAGAATGCTTAGCCATGTTTGAAACCGAACTAACCTTTAACACTGTTCCCTTCCCCCTCCTGATACCTGTGCTGAACAATGTGTAAAAAAGATGTACAATATATTGCCAAAAGTATTGGTTGGCCGGCCTTTCCACACACATGACCTTTGATGGCCCCCCAGTCTTAGTCTGTAGGGTTCAATATTGAGTTGGCCCCGCCCTTTCCACACACATGACCTTTGATGGCCCCCCACTCTTAGTCTGTAGGGTTCAATATTGAGTTGGCCCCGCCCTTTCCACACACATGAACTTTAATGGCCTCCCAGTCTTAGTCCGTAGGGTTCAATATTGAGTTGGCCCCGCCCTTTCCACACACATGACCTTTAATGGCCCCCCAGTCTTAGTCTGTAGGGTTCAATATGGAGTTGGCCCCGCCCTTTCCACACACATGAACTTTAATGGCCTCCCAGTCTTACTCCGTAGGGTTCAGTATTGAGTTGGCCCCGCCCTTTGCAGCTATAACAGCTTCAGCTCTTCTGGGAAGGCCGTCCACAAGGTTTAGGAGGGTGTCTATGGGAAGGTTGGACCATTCTTCCAGAAGTGCATTTGTGAGGTCAGGCACTGATGTCGGGGGAGGAGGCCTGGCTCGTAGTCTCCGCTCTAATTCATCCCAAAGGTGTTCTATGGGGTTGAGGTCAGGACTCTGTGCAGGTCAGTCAAGTTCCTCCACCCCAAACTGGCTCCTCCATGTCTTTATGGACCTTGCTTTGTGCACTGGTGTGCAGTCATGTTGGAACAGGAAGGGGCCATCCCCAAACTCCTCCCACAAAGTTGGGAGCATGAAATTGTCCAAAATGTCGCCTTAAGAGTTCCCTTCACTGGAACTAGGGGGCCAAGCCCAACCCTACGGACTAAGGCTGGGGGGGCCATTACAGGTCATGTGCGTGGAAAGGCAGGCCGACCAATACTTTTGACAATATAGTGTATGTATGGAGACCTGTCCCCGTAATCTCTGTGCGGGGGAGTACATACCTGAAAGTGTTGCACTGACACTGTAGTGGAGATTTACTAAAACCGGAGCTCTCAGAATTATTATTATACAGGATTTATGGAGCCAACAGTTTGCTCAGCACTTTACAATATAACAGGAGACAATACAGCAACAATACAGTTCAATACAAGAGGGATAGGAGGGCCTGATCCTGGGAGCTTACAATCTAAGAGGGAGGGGCTGGTGGTACAAAAGGTAAAAAACTGTGGGGGATGGACTGGTAGGAGGAATAGAAGATTCGGTTATTAGCTGAGGGCAGGATAGGCTTCCCTGAAGAGATCAGGTTTCAGAGATCGCCTAAAAGTGGGCAGAGTAGGCAATAGTCGGATAGATTGGGGTAGAGAGTTCCAGAGGATGGGGGAGGCTCTGGAGAAGTCCTGGAGATGAGCATGGGAGGAGGAAACAAGGAAGCTAGGGAATCTGGTGTAGCTGTGCATAGGAGCAAATCAGCTTCTAACTTCAGCTTGTCCAGTTAAGCTTTGACAATAAAACCTGGAAGCTGATTGGTTTCTACGCTGAGCTACACCAGTTTCTGTTTCTGTGTGCTCCACAGGGGCAGACTGACAATTTGGAAACTCGAGCACTGCCCAAGGGCCTGGGGTATGTAGGGGGTCCCATGAGATGCCCCTGGTACCTTTTTTCATAGGCTTTTTTGAGTTTGGGCAAGGACACAGGGGCCCCATGATCCCCTATTGCCCGGGGGCCCCATGAGTTGTCAGTCTGCCCCTGGTGCTCCAATTTTAGTAAATCTTCCCCATTACTCAACAGTAAGCCAGTTGGGTTCAGCTCATTGCATGGCGGCGTGTCAAGCAGAAGACACGTGGGGAACTGTAGACACAGTGCTGTGTCCTGGCTATAGGACCCATAAGAAGCACCTTTTATCCCCATTTATTTCCCATCTTTGTGTTTGTGGTTGGCTTGCTGCCCCATACATAACAAAGGGTCCTGCGTGTTCTTCTTCCAGAGTGTAAGAGGTTTAAAGAGAGCGCTCAAGTCCCAGTGAGTCCGGCTGGAGGTGACACAGAGGAGTCACAAGTGGCGTCAGAAGAGAGTTCAGAGGAAGCCGAGGAAAAGCAAGAATCCGTAGAAGAGACCGCGGAGGAGACAGCGCAGCCACAACCGCCTGGAAAAGACACTTCAAGAGCCAGCGAGGGAGGGGACAGAAATCTGGAATGCAGGAGAGACCAGACTGTACATGAGAGCGCAGAGAAAAGAGAAGACGGAGGACAAAGGACAGACATGATTGTACAATGGGGACCCCTGACACAAAGAACTACATGGATGCCGCCCCCTGCGCTCTCTCCGCTAGTCCTGACACCGTATGCTCCTTCCGCCTGTCTGATAGGACACAGGTAACCCCAGGGGGCGCTCTGCGTCTTTGGGGCATATTTGTTTTTAAATGTTGTGAAATAAGAACGCTTATTTAACCCCTCGCCCCCCGGGCACTCCTACCCCCTTCCTGCCCAGGCCAATTTCCAGCTTTCAGCGCTGTCACACTTTGAATGACAATTGCGCGGTCATGCAACGCTGTACCCATATGAAATTTTTATCCTTTTTTGAGCCAGATAGAGCTTTATTTTGGTGGTATTTAATCACCTCGGGATTTTTTTCATTTTTTGCTAAACAAACCAAAAACAACTGAAAATTATGAAAAAAAAAAAGTTTTTTCTTAGTTTTTGTTTTAAGACTTTGTAAATAAGTGATTTTTCTCCTTCAATGATGTGCGCTAATAAGGCTGCAGTGATGGGCACTGATAGGCTGCACTGATGAGGAGGCACTGGTAGGTGGCACTGATGGGCATTGACAGGCATCACTGATGGGCACTGAAAGGCAGCACTCATATATGGCACTGATAGGCAGCACTGATAGGTGGCACTGACTGGCACTGATAGGCGGCACTGGCTGGCACTGATAGGCAGCACTGAAGGGCACTGATAGGCGGCATTGACTGGCAGTGATAGGTGACACTGATAGGTGACACTGATTGGCAGCACTGATAGGTGGCACTGACTGGCACTGATAGGTGACACTGAAAGGCAGCTCAGATGGGCACTGATAAGTGCATTGATGTGCACTGGTAGGCACTGATATGTGACATTGATGTGGCACTGATGGACACTGACAGGTGGCACTGCTGGGGCTACACTGATCATCAGGGCACACTGTTTATCAGTGCCCTGATGATCAGTGTACATGTCCCCTCTGAGGAATGCCGATTACCGGCTCTCGTCTCTCCCTCTGTCAGCGTGACAGCTCGTGAGGAGAGAAATGCTGATCACATGACCGAGCCGACATCTTCGGCTCTTTCTGTTGATCGGTGATCCTCTGTGTCCGAGGGACACAGCTCACCACCGATCGCCCGCGCACACGTGGTTAGAGTGGGAGGACGTCATATGACATCCTCCCAGAACGAGGGAACCGCCTTGCGCCCATCATTACCTTATATGGCGGGCGGGAGGCGGTTAAAAAAGGGTTTTCGCCCCAAGACTTGCGCACCTTTCACCAAGGATTCATACATTTTCCAAATGAACCTGACAGATTGTAATGTCCTCCTTTGCCTTCCTCTGGATCAACTGTGGGTGGAGGATTATAACTTTTTTTTTTTTTTAATGGTTGAACTGGATGGACTTTTGTCTTTTTTCAGCCAGACTAACTATGTAACTATGTATGTCTACTGAAAATAATATTCAAATCATATTCATGCATTACTAATATTGACCAGCAGATGGAGCTGTAGTAAAGCACAGGCCATGTTTTAGGATAATCTTTTTGCATTTGTTGCAGATTAGATGTTATGCTCCTTATTTGTTTAACTTTTCGAAAATTGTTCGTTTATTGTCATCTTTGCTCCCTTTTTTTTTCACTGTTCAGATTGATTGTAAAAAAATTTAAGTGTTATTGCTGGATTGGCTGAACAGAGTTATCAATAGCCTGGCAGGTTTTCAATTGAATATTTAGCAGTTTGCCTGGAAGTCTTCTTGTCCCTTTTTCCTTGGTTCCCCCGTCCCCTACACTCTTCATTTTGCTGCGTTTAACATTTTCGCTGTGTATAGGCGCAGTCATGTGACCCTTGGCTCTTCTTTTTTTTTCCCCACAGATTTTCCCAGTCTGTACACTCCAGTGTGGTCCCGTTCCCTTCTCTGCCCCCTGTTCCTTCTCCCGCTGCCCCCTACTTCCTCAGCTCTTGGACTTCACCACCAGGGAGGCTTGGTCATCCCCATCCCGGACTTCACCCTCAGTACTTTCCAGCAGCAGGTGTGTGCTCCACCCTGGTACCTGCCCCCGCAGATCACCTCCAGAGGACTCTGAATCTAAGAGCGTGGAGTGGAGGAAGCCTGAGCGGAGGCTAATGGACGTATGATGAAAGCTGGCACGGCAGAGCCAACTCACTGGGGGTTTTCCCCTCTGGAGCTGTGAAAACGCTGCAGGATCAGCAGGCCTTGCCGCACAGCACTCTGCTGGAGTGATTAGTGGGCCTGCCGCACAGCGCAAAGACTGAGCAGAACCACTGAATACTGCTGGGCAGACGAGAGTGCCAATACAGGCTGGAGCACAAGGGCTCGATGGGAGCCAATGGGATAGGTGCAATGTTGGCTTGGTGAAGAAAGCTGCCGATCGGTGCGCATACCTGGGATTAGGTACCCCGGCAATCCCACAATCCTTTCTGTTTTCCAAAATGGACTTTGTTTAAAGGAAACCTTCACTGAGAATGGAACTTCTCCTGAGTCAGGAGGCATGGAACCCACAGACAGGCAGGCAGGTAGCTTCTTAGGAGGAAGTCAGCAATGGCAACCCTCGTAGTTCACTCAATGCTGGATTGGTTATTGGAGTCCAGGTGATAAAGAGGTGAGACCTGATAGAATTCCTGACTCCATTTACGGTTTTGTTTGTTACATTGTCCATGTTATAAAATATATAAAGAGATGGTGGGACCCCCTTAAAATAGGAACATCAGGTGTACAGACCCAGGAACTCAGTACAGGGATGGTGGGAACCCCTCATAATGGGTACAGCGGGTGTACAGACCTGGGAATTCAGCACAGGGATGGTGGGAACCCCTCATAATGGGCACAGCGGGTGTACAGACCTGGGAAATCAACACAGGGATGTTGGGAACCCCTCATAATGGGCACAGCGGGTGTACAGACCTGGGAACTCAGCACAGGGATGGTGGGAACCCCTCATAATGGGCACAGCGGGTGTACAGACCTGGGAAATCAACACAGGGATGGTGGGAACCCCTCATAATGGGCACAGCGGGTGTACAGACCTGGGAACTCAGCACAGGGATGGTGGGAACCCCTCACAATGGGCACAGCAGGGGGTACAGACCCGGGAGCTCTGAGAGATAGAAGTCTGACTGGTGGGTGAGGATATAATACAGTCAATACTTGACCCAAAGACATGCTGTGACTGCAGGGTGTCAGGAATTGCAGGGTGTCGGGAATTGATCACAGCCACACACACGGCCAAAACTTTATTGGAAAACTAGAAGCAGTTTATTGATAACTCTCCATATTTACAAATCACAAGCAGTAGCAGCATTATGTCCTTCAGCATCGATGTTGTTGCCCTTCTTCTGCTGCAGGCTCTTGGGGTTCCGGGCCCCGGGCCCTCTGCTCCCCCTCACATTTCTGTATAAAGCGGTGCAGTTTGGAGGGATAATCTGTCATAACGCCGGTGGCCCCGCAATCAAAGGCTCGCTGGAAATCTGACTCCTGGTTCAACACCCAGAGGTAGACCTGCAGAGACGGGAGAGAGATCGATTATTGACGGTCTGCACTGCCCGCAGCGACCAATCAGCTTCTAGATGTCACTATTATAGTCTGACTGGCTGCAGCTTCTAATGCACATGATGAGGAGCTCACAGTGTGCGCTGAGATCAGAGGAAGCCATTGTAGTTCAGGAGCGGAGGCGGTACACTTGGGCAAGACTGAAGGGGAGGCCAGCAACTGGGCAAGACTGAAGGGGAGGGGCAACTGGGGGGTCAAGGGCAAGACTGAAGGGGAGGGGCCGGTACACCTGGGCAAGACTGAAGGGGAGGGGCCGGTACACCTGGGCAAGACTGAAGGGGAGGGGCCGGTACAACTGGGCAAGACTGAGTACACCTGGGCAAGACTGGGGGAGGAGCCGGTACACCTGGGCAAGACTGAAGGGGAGGGGCCGCTACACCTGGGCAAGACTGAAGGGGAGGGGCCGGTACACCTGGGCAAGACCGGTGGGCAACTGAAGGGAGGGCCGGTACACCAGGGCAAGACTGGGCAAGGGCAAGACTGAAGGGGAGGGGCCGGTACACAAGACTGGGGGAGGAGCCGGTAAGGGCAAGACTGAAGGGGAGGGGGTACACCTGGGCAAGACTGAAGGGGAGGAGCCGGTACACCTGGGCAAGACTGAAGGGGAGGGGCCGGTACACCTGGGCAAGACTGAAGGGGAGGGGCCGGTACACCTGGGCAAGACTGAAGGGGAGGGGCCGGTACACCAAGGGGGGAGGGGCACAGGGCAAGACTGAAGGGGGGCGGAGGGCAAGACGGAAGGGGAGGAGCCGGTACACAAGACTGGGGGAGGAGCAAGACTGAAGGGGAGGAGCCGGTACATCTGTGCAAGGGCACTGAAGGGGAGGCCGGAAGGGAGGGGGAGAGGGGCCGGTACACCTGGACAAGACTGACGGGGAGGAGCCGGTACACCTGTGAAGGGGAGGAGCCGGTACATCTGTGCAAGACTGAAGGGGAGGCCGGAGGGAGGATTTCATGTATTTTATTGCCTCGTGTGCTCTATGAGCATTCTTGTACCAGCTCAACGTTCATGGATGTCCTGGCAGACACGTCCAATGGCGGCCTTGGATGACCAATAATAATTGTCCAATCCTGACTGATCAGTTCTTTCCTCTGACACGGGTCCGGTCTGCCATAGATATGCGGTCATTTCCCAAGCCACCCAATCTCAGCTTTAATATTGGGTAACCTAAGGTTTAGACATGTTTTCACTCAAGATTCACACTTAGGTTCAAATGTGTGAAAACATTTATAATTGGACCCCTTGGTGTCCTCCTCTCCTTACCTGAATGCCCCGGGCCTGCAGGTGCTGGAAGAGACCTTTCCTCATCATTAACCTGCAAAAGAGGCAAAACGTGGTTCTCTCATTACTACAGATGTAGACATTCTGTAACCAAGTACACGGGTAGACCAGAGGGAAGGATGGCTGATTGCTATCTGTGACTAGAGCTGAATGGAGATCCAACCAACCCTTTAAAGCAGTGGTCTCCAAACTGTGGCCTGGGGGCTGGATGTGGCCCTTTGCTTGCTTTTATCCAGCCCTTGGGGCACTAGTTCCTTCACTGACACCAACGATGGGGCACAATTCCTCCCAATGATTCCAACAATGGGGCACAATTCCTCCCAATGATTCCAACAATGGGGCACAATTCCTCCCAATGATACCAACAATGGGGCACAATTCCTACCAATGGCACCAACGATGGATCACAGTTCCTCACAGTGATACCAATAATCAGGTGCAATGTCACCAATGATGGGGCCAAAATCCTACCAATGATGGGGCACTCTTCCTCTCAATAATACCAACAATAGGGCACAGTTCCTCCCAATGATACCAACAATGGGGTGCAATGTCACCAATGATGGGGCTGAAATCCTTCCAATGACACCAATGATGGGGCACTATTCCTCCCAATAATGCCAACAATGGGGCACAGGTCCTCCCAATGATAGCAACAATGGGGTGCAATGTCATCAACGATGGGGCAGAAATTCTTGCAATGACACCAATGATGGGGCACTATTCCTCCCAATAATACCAACAATGTAGTGCAAGGTCATCAATGATAGAGCCCGAATCCTCCCAATGACACAAACAATGAGGCACAATTCCTCCCAATGACACCAGCGATGGGGCACAATTCCTATCAATGATACCAAGAATAGGACACAGTTCCTCCCAATGATACCAATAATGGGGTACAATATAACCACTGAGTGGGGCACAAATCCTTACAATGACACCAATAATGGGGCACCATTCCTACTGCTGATACAAAACAATAGGGCACAATTCCAACCAATGAAACTAACAATGGGGCACAGTTCCTCCCAATGATACCAACAATGAGATGCACTGTCACCAACAATAGGATGATGGGGCCCACATTCTCCCAATGTCACCAACAATGGAGCATAATTCCTAACAATGACACCAATAATGAGGCATAATCCCTACCAATGACACCAACAATGGGGCACAATTCCCACTAATGTCACCAACAATGGGGCACTATTCCACCCAATGACACCAGCGATCGGGCGCAATGATACCAATGATGGGGCACAATTTCACCTAATGACACAAACGATGGGGCAAAATTCCTCTCACTGACACCAAAGATGGAGCATTGTTTACTCCAACTGATGCTGGAACATTTTCTGCTCCCGATGACCACAGTCCGGCCCCTCCCCCAAAGTCTGAAGAACTGTAAACTGGCCCTTTGCTTAGAAAGTTTGGAGACCCCTGGTTTAAAGCTTTCATATGGCAGACAGACCCAACCGAACCCGGGTTCAGGTAGGATGACCCCATGGAGCCTGGGTCCAATACTGCCTGTGTCACCATATTGCCATCCCTGTCCCAATAAATCTACAAATACAAAATCACTCAGAGTGCAGTGAAGACTACTTGTTGATGCCACTTCCACCCGGGTGAAATTTTAATGAGGATTTTTCTCAGTTTGAATGGAAAAGGAATGAAGCTGTCAGGGTGCAAAAGCCTGATTGTGTTCTATGGAATTGCATCATGTGTGGCAGAATGGATTCATTTTTCTTTATTTATTTCGATCTTTCAACACATGCAAGCAAAAAAAAAAAAAAAAATTGGAAAAGTATCAAACAATTTAGATTAGACTGAAAAATTAACAGCAAACGTGTACAGTAAAAAAAAAAAAGCCCCCAAATGTGACCCCCTAATTCCTTTTATATCTGAAAGACGGGTGCGGAGTTGATTGTGTGTGATCGGCGTTGGTGTTCGTTAAGCCTCATCACAGCCGTGTGTACATATGTACAGAATACCATGACCATTAAATATATGTTTTCTAAAACTGTGTTTTATTCTTTTACTGTCTTCATAAACAAAGGGAATCTATTTTAAAGGTTTTTCACCCAAGATTCACACATCATTCTAATTGGATTCAACTGGAAATACGTATCAGTGACCAGTGGCGTCCCAAGGCAGGTGCGGGGGGTGACACCCAGGGGCGTATTTACCACAAGGCAAACAAGGCAATTGCCTAGGGCAGCATTTTTCAGGGGGGCAGCGCCGCCCCTCCCAAAAAAAGGGATGGAAAATGGGACACATGCAGCATGGGGACCAGGTGGGATCTGAGAGAGGCTGCAGGTTGCTTGATGTAGAGCCTGACTCTTGTTCTCGGGGATGTCTGAAGCTGTGAAGGTGAGTGTCTTCTCTCTCGCAGGTTTGGGGGGCAGTGACAGTGTATGGGGGGCGGTAGTAGTTGAAATCTCACTTGGGTAGAGGTGTTGTTGGTCAATGTCAGGCTCTCTTTGTGGGGGGAGGGGGGTGCTGGTCAGTGTCAGAGTCTCTCCATGTGGGGGAAGCAGGGGCGGACTGACCATTTGGAAACTCAGGCAATGCCCGAGGGCCCAGGGTCAGTAGGGGGCCCCATGAGATGCCCCACAGAGTCATGGGGAACACAGGTGTCATGGAGGTGCACAGGGTGTACTGGAGTCAGTAGATAATGAAGTTTTGGGATCATAGGATACACAGGAGTCATTGTAAAACACTGGATACTCAGTGGTGTCACAGAGTCATGGGGCACACAGGTGTCACTGTATAACACAGAATTCAAAGAGGTGCCATGTAGTCACAGGGCACACGGGAGTCACTGTGTACACTGGATACAAAGGGATGTCACAGAATCATGAGGTGCACAAGGGTGCACAGGAGTCCTTGGATTATATTGGATAATCAGGGGATCACAGTCATGGGGCACACAGGAGTCACTGGATTGAACTTTAATGCTCAGGGGTGTCACGGAGTCACAGGACACACAGGAGCCAATGGATAACACTTCAGGAGTGTCATGGAGTCAAGGGGTACACAGGAGTCACTGGATATTACTGGATGTAAAGAGTTGTCATAGAATCACGGGGTACACAAGGCTGCACAGGAGCCACTGGATAACACTTTGTCTGGATGTAAAGAGTTGTCATAGAATCACGGGGTTCACAAGGGCCACTGGATAACACTGGGTCTGAATGTAAAGAGTTGTCATAAAATCACGGGGTACACAAGGATGCACAGAGGCCACTGGATAACACTGGGTCTAGATGAAAAGAATTGTCAAAGAATCAAGGGGTACACAAGGGCTACTGGATAACACTGGGTCTGGATGTAAAGAGTTGTCATAAAATCACGGGGTACACAAGGGCTACTGGATAACACTGGGTCTGGATGTAAAGAGTTGTCGTAGAATCACGGGGTACACAAGGATGCACAGGAGCCACTGGATAACACTGGGTTTGGATGTAAAGAGTTGTCATAGAATCACGGGGTGCACAGGAGTCACTGGATAACACTGGGTCTGGATGTAAAGAGTTGTCATAGAATCACGGGGTGCACAAGGGTGCACAGGAGCCACTGGATAACACTGGGTCAGATGTAAAGAGTTGTCATAGAATCACGGGGTGCACAGGAGTCACTGGATAACACTGGGTCTGGATGTAAAGAGTTGTCATAGAATCACGGGGTGCACAAGGGTGCACAGGAGCCACTGGATAACACTGGGTCAGGATGTAAAGAGTTGTCATAGAATCACGGGGATAACACTGGGTCAGGATGTAAAGAGTCACGGGGTGCACAGGAGTGGATAACACTGGGTCTGGATGTAAAGAGTTGTCATAGAATCACGGGGTGCACAGGAGTCACTGGATAACACTGGGTCAGGATGTAAAGAGTTGTCGTAGAATCACGGATTACACAAGGGTGCACAGGAGTCACTGGGGGGAGGGAGGGGAACAGTCACATGGCATATGTGAATCACTGGATGACACTTGGATGATCAAGGGTGTCATGGAGTCACGGGGGGCACACAGGTGTCATTGGATGACACTTGGATGCTCAGGGAAGCACTGAGCCCACTAGGAGTCACGGGGTAGTCAGAGGTTGGACTGGAGGATCAAGGAGGTACGAGGAAACAGGCAAAGCCTGTTCAAGGCTCGGATGCAGCATGTCAACGCATTGCCTTGCAATTTTAGGTGACACCAATCAGGAAAGCTGTCTCCTGAGGTGCAGGAGGTGCTGGCAGCTGCATGCTGAAGAGGCCAGGTACTGGATCCCCAGAGAGGTGAGTGTGACAATTGGGTGGGTAAATTTGCCATGAGAGTAAAAACCCCCAAAAGTCAGCACACTCACATTGACATGATATGGGGGTCATACATGAACTATCATGGGGAGGAGGGGACAGCAGAATAAACTATATGGCCCGAAGTCTATGGGCATCACACCTACAGTATATGGGCTTGTTGGACATTTTGTTTCAAGTCCCCCCATCCCTACCCTTCGCTGTTACATCTCTCACCCCTCTAGAAGCCCTCACTCTTCTGGGAAAGCTTTCCATAAGATTTTGGAATGTATCTGTGGGAACATTTGTAAAGGTCAGGGTACTGATGCTGGATCGGGGTCGCAACCATCATTCCAAGCTCATACAGGTGTGATGGGATGCCCATAGTCTCCAGGTCATATAGTTTACTCTGCTGTCCCCTCCTCCCCATGATAGTCGACGTATGACCCCCATATCATGTCAATGCGAGTGTGCTGACTTTTGGGGGTTTTTCATCCCAAAGGTGTCCAGTAGGGTTGAGGTCGGGGATCAACCCTACCGAACCACTAAAGTTCCTTCACACCAAACTGGTCAAACCATGTCTACATGGAGCTGGCTTTGTGCACCAGAACTCAACAATTCAGAGACGGGAGGGTGTCCACATACTGACCATACAACGGACATGTCAGTTATTATATATAAAGTTGACCACACAGCGTGCACTTACTTGTCCTGCAGACGGACCAGAAACCGGTTCCTCATGAGCGCATTGTGGGGGAAATACGTCCTGCAGTGAGACAAGTGTTAGCACTGAGACCTGTTTATCCTGTTATTACATCTCAATGGTCTGAATCTGGCTAGGGGAGAGGAGATGGGCCAGCACTGGTGTTTATCTATGGCAGGTACTGGCCAATGGACAGGTCCACCCTCATACCCAGGGAATGGACCATGAGAGGTGATAGCTCAGACTGACCTGTTTATAATGGACGGCATGTAGGTTTCCACCACGGCCTCTGGCAGCGGCACGAAGGGAAGGAGGCCGGTGTAGTAGAGGATGAGGAGGATGATCCCTCGACGGGGTGTGAACATGAAAGGCATGTCTGGGTTCTGGAGAGGGAGAGATGAGGGTGAGGTAAGGAGGACAGGAGATGAGGAAGCCTATCACGCCTCCAAGGAAACCTTCATCACTTCCATCAACTGATCCCCCCACACTTCCAACCACATGCCCCACCCTATTAGATTGTAAGCTCTTATGACCTTTGTATTTTATGGCATTGAAACTGTACTGTCTCCCTTTATACCAGTGGTTCTCAACCTTCCTAATGCCCCGACCCTTTAATACAGTTCCTCCTGTTGTGGTGACCCCCAACCATAAAATTATTTTCGTTGCTACTTCATAACTGTAATTTTGCTACTATTATGAATCGTAATGTAAATATCTAATATGCAGGATGGATTTCCATGGTTACAAATTGAACATAATTAAAGCAAAGTGATTAATCACAAAAACAATTATAATTATAATTCATGAAGTGTGGTTTTACCTCCAATTCTGCTGCTTTCAACACAGTAGCTGCTTTCAACACAGTAGCTGCTTTCTACACAGTAGCTGCTTTTAACACAGTAGCTGCTTTCTACACAGTAGCTGCTTTCAACACAGTAGCTGCTTTCTACACACAGTAGCTGCTTTCTACACAGTAGCTGCTTTCAACACAGTAGCTGCTTTCAACACAGTAGCTGCTTTCTACACAGTAGCTGTTTTCTACACAGTAGCTGCTTTCAACACAGTAGCTGCTTTCTACACAGTAGCTGCTTTCTACACAGTAGCTGCTCTTTACACATGTGTGACTGGTCCACATAAGTACATTATTGCGCCAACCCTGTCACATACACCTGTATTTGTACGGGGTGTATGTGGTGGGGTTGGCGCGATGATGTCATCGCACCGGGTACTCGTATGTGGGCATATCTGCATGTGGGCTGACCCGCCTGGAGATGGATAGAAATGCAGTGTCTCGGTTCCTAAGACCATCAGAAATATGTGTTTTCCGGTGGTCTTAGGCGACCTCTGTGAAAGGGTGTTTGACCCCCAAAGGGGTCGCGACCCACAGGTTGAGAACCACTGCTTTATACTGTTGGCGCTATAGAAATCCTGAAAAAAAAAGAAGGGGGTGAGCAGAGGAGGATACAGGGAGCAGTACAATGGAAATTAGGAATAGTCAGGGGGAAGGGGGTCTGTTTGGTCATTTTTCTCGGGATGTCTCCTTACCTCCTTTCGACATTTCTTCATGACTGGATCGCTGGTACTGGCCCAGATGGTTCTCTCCGTCCTTCGGTACTTCTTCACCAAGTCCGACACCTGCAGGAGCACAGTATAGCCGCATTACATGATTTTTGACCACACCGTGGCGCAGCGATCACACTACAGGCTGTGTCACATCTGCATGGTGCGTTTTGCAGGTTCTTAGGTGCGTTACCATTGACCTATAGAAGGCGCATTATTACAGAATTGCCTCAAGCAAGATTTTTTTTTTTTTTTTAATGCGCACAAAGGTGTGAATGGGGCCTAATAATGCGCAATTCACCAAGTACCTTCTTTATCAGCTCGTCGCAGTCTCGCTTTATTTCTATATTGATGGGTTTCTCCGGGAATCTCTGGAAGACTTCCTCCAGCAGCGGGATCTGACGGTCATGTCCCGATGACATGTGACCTGAAAACACACAAACATGTTTTTGCTGGCGGAAACGGCACAGGTCATGTGACTTCTCATCAACTGCCACTGAGTCCGAAGAAGCCCTGTATAGTAATCTGGGGACATGTCCCTTCCAACCATTGAACAGTGATTACATGGAAGGGTATTCAGTGGGGCCGGATCTGGGGGGTGCTGGGGAAGGCTTTGCCCCAACCCCCACTCTCTGAGAATGCATCCATTGATTTTTGAGTCAATCTGACGCAGACAGTTGATGTAAGGGGGCACTTTGACGGGAATCCTGATGTAAGGGGAGACTCTGATGGGGACCCTGATGTAAGTGGGGACTCTGATGGGGACCTGATGTAAGGGGGCATTTTGATGGGGACCCTGATGTGAGGGGGGACTCTGATGGAAACCTGATGTAGGGGGACATTTTGATGGGGACCCTGATGTAAGGGGGTACTCTGATGGAAACCTGATTTAAGTGGGCACTCTGATGAGGACCCTGATGTAAAGAAGCACTCTGATGGAGACCCTGATGTAAGGGGGCACTCTGATGGGGACCCTGATGTAAGGGGGCACTCTGATGGGGACCCTGATGTAAGGGGGCACTCTGATGGGGACCCTGATGTAAGGGGGCACTCTGATGGGGACCCTGATGTAAGGGGGCACTCTGATGGGGACCCTGATGTAAGGGGGCACTCTGATGGGGACCCTGATGTAAGGGGGCACTCTGATAGGGACCCTAATGTAAGGGGGGACTCTGATAGGGACCCTAATGTAAGGGGGGACTCTGATAGGGACCCTAATGTAAGGGGGGACTCTGATAGGGACCCTAATGTAAGGGGGGACTCTGATAGGGACCCTAATGTAAGGGGGGACTCTGATAGGGACCCTAATGTAAGGGGGGACTCTGATAGGGACCCTAATGTAAGGGGGGACTCTGATAGGGACCCTAATGTAAGGGGGGACTCTGATAGGGACCCTAATGTAAGGGGGGACTCTGATAGGGACCCTAATGTAAGGGGGGACTCTGATAGGGACCCTAATGTAAGGGGGACTCTTGATGGCGCTATATAAGTACCTGAAATAAATAAATAGTGCCCCATTGTTGGTGTCATTGGGAGGAATGGTGCCCAATTGTTGGTGTCAGTGGGAGGAATGGTGCCCCATTGCTGGTATCAGTGGGAGGAATGGTGCCCCATCATTGGTGTCAGTGGGAGGAATAGTGCACCATCATTGGTGTCAGTGGGAGGAATAGTGCCCCATCATTGGTGTCAGTGGGAGGAATAGTGCACCATCATTGGTGTCAGTGGGAGGAATAGTGCCCCATCATTGGTGTCAGTGGAAGGTATAGTGCCCCATCATTGGTGTCAGTGGGAGGAATAGTGCCCCATCATTGGTGTCAGTGGGAGGAATAGTGCCCCATCATTGGTGTCAGTGGGAGGAATGGTGCCTCAAGGGCTGGATAAGAACAAGCAAAAGGTTGCAGTTTGGAGATCACTGGGGTAGATGATGCCGGACGTCCTCCAGCCAGGAAATGAGGCAGAGCTCTGTCTGACTGGTTGCAGCTTCTAATGCACATTGTGAAAAGCTCACAGTGTGCAGTGAAATCAAAGGAAGCCGTTTCAGTCCAGGAGAGGAGCCGCTACAACTGGAAGGCCGGAGATCAGATTTCAATGGGGTCCATAGGTGTCAGTCAGGATTTACCTGGCAGAAATGTCACCTCCAGAGTCTCGTGGTACTGCGGAAGCTCCTGGTGGGAAGTAAGGGGAAGATCAGTCACGGGAACAATGAAGGGATCATACATGTGTATAATGACACGCTCCGCTCACACGGACATTACCTGGTATCTGACGTCACATATGTTGACATCGTGTCCCGTCTGCCGCAGCAAATTGTCATCGTGTGACACCACAACCCGCCCGTCCTTGGTCAGGTGACAGTCCAGCTCCAAGAGGTCCGTGTGATTGGCCGTGGCACTGCAGGGGCAGAAAGGTTTAACCAATTACAGAGCTGCCTTTGGAAATGGCCCCACCCACTCCACACCCCTCTGAGACCCAAGCAGAAAGTGATGCGCAAAAGTGCTAGAAGGCCCTGGTGGCGACCAATCAGAAGCCATCCTTCCTGGCGCTGATCTCCCTAAGACCATGAAGGATAAAAAAAAAGCGATGGATTGCGGTTGGTTAGGACCAGGGGCGTCCCTAGGGTTGGTGTCACCCGGTCCGATAACACCTGGTGACACCCCCTCCGACAATCCCCGCAGGATGGATGGGATCTGCGGATTGAGGATAATGGATCAGACTCCGATCCATTATCCTCCCCAATCCACAGATCCGATCCATCCTGTGGGGATCGTCGGCTTGCTGTACAACTTACCTTTTCGTGGAGCGGTTCCGGTGTCACCCCGTGCGGTAGGTGTCACCCCGTGCGGCGCGCACCCCCTGCACCTGCCTTGAGATGCCACTGGTTAGGACGATTGCCGCTGCCTTTCCAACTATAAATGTGGAATGCCAGAGCCAAGCAAGGAAAAGAGACCCTGTCTGCAACTAAAACAATTGCAGGAAAAAGCTCATAGCCAGCCGGTGCTGAAAATAATAATTACTTGCAGCGTTTTTCATTTTAGTGAATTCTATTCTATTCTATTTATTAGTAATGTCTCTTTAAACATACTAGAGTGACTACTCCATGAAGAGTCAGTTCCCTAGCACACAGCCCCCTCCTCCTCTGGAAGCGTTTAGTTACTTTCTGTGCCGGCCCAGCTCCTTCACCCTCCCCTTACCTCCTTACACAACTTTTTATGTAGCAACTGGGGAAGGAGTAAAGGGGAGAATACTAGGGTGTCCCTTCAGCTCTGAGTCTGTTGGAGCTGCTGAATCCCATCCATGATGGCGGCACCCGGCGGCAGTCTCGGGGATTATGGGGGTCTACACAAGGGGGGATATGATCATACAATGCGGTGGGAGGAGTTGTGTTGGAATGAATGGTTTGGGGGGCAATCAAAGGCCAGAATGGGAACTGAAATGTTATAATAAACGGGTATGTCAGGGTAGGCGCGCGTAACATGACAGTGTTCTGTTAGCAGAGCTGCCATTAAAAATCATGGGGCCCTGTACAACCTACCTGATGGGGCCCCTTTGAGCTCCCAGAGGATAATAATGGGGCAGCATGCCAAGCACACCATGGTGAACTGTCAGTGTGGTAAACCGGTGCTAACAGTGAGAGGGACTTAAAACTTCTACATACAGAGCCTACAGAGCCTATGTACATAGTGAGTGCAGGGGTCAGGAATACGTAACATACTAAAGTGCAGGGGTCAGGAGTATGTAACGTACAAAGTGAATAAATATATATATATATATATATATATATATATATATATATATATATATAATATATAAAGTATATAGGGCATGGAGTCACGGAATTGTAATGTACAAAGTGCAGGGGTCAGGTGCATGTAATGTACAAAGTGCAGAGGTCAGGAATATATAACATACAGAGTTCAGGGGTCAGGAGTATGTAACATACTGAGTGCAGGGTGACTAGTATGTGAGAGTGTGCAGGGGTCAGGAGTATGCAACATACATTGTGCAGTGATCAGGAATATGTAAGAGTGTGCAGGGGTCAGGTGTATGTAACATATAAAGTACCAGCGTCTGGAATATATAACATACGGAGTGCAGGGTCAGGAGTATGTAACATACTGAGTGCAGGGTGAGTAGTATGTGAGAGTGTGCAGGGGTCATGAGTATGTAACATACGGAGTGCAGGGTCATGAGTATGTAACATACGGAGTGCAGGGTCATGAGTATGTAACATACACAGTACAGGGGTCATGAGTATGTAACATACGGAGTGCAGGGTCAGGAGTATGTAACATATGGAGTACAGGGTCAGGAGTATGTAACATACGGAGTACAGGGTCAGGAGTATGTAACATACGGAGTGCAGGGGTCATGAGTATGTAACATACGGAGTGCAGGTTCAGGAGTATGTAACATACACAGTACAGGGGTCATGAGTATGTAACATACAGAGTGCAGGGTCAGGAGTATGTAACATACAGAGTGCAGGTCAGGAGTATGTAACATACGGCGTGCAGGGTCAGGAGTATGTAACATACGGAGTGCAGGGTCAGGAGTATGTAACATACGGAGTGCAGGGTCAGGAGTATGTAACATACGGAGTGCAGGGTCAGGAGTATGTAACATACACAGTACAGGGGTCATGAGTATGTAACATACGGAGTGCAGGGTCAGTAGTATGTAACATATGGAGTGCAGGGTCAGGAGTATGTAACATACACAGTACAGGGGTCATGAGTATGTAACATATGGAGTGCAGGGTCAGGAGTATGTAACATATGGAGTGCAGGGTCAGGAGTATGTAACATACACAGTACAGGGGTCATGAGTATGTAACATACAGAGTGCAGGGTCAGGAGTATGTAACATATGGAGTGCAGGGTCAGGAGTATGTAACATACACAGTACAGGGGTCATGAGTATGTAACATACAGAGTGCAGGGTCATGAGTATGTAACATACACAGTGCAGGGTCAGGAGTATGTAACATACACAGTACAGGGGTCATGAGTATGTAACATATGGAGTGCAGGGTCAGGAGTATGTAACATACACAGTGCAGGGTCAGGAGTATGTAACATACACAGTACAGGGGTCATGAGTATGTAACATATGGAGTGCAGGGTCAGGAGTATGTAACATACACAGTGCAGGGTCAGGAGTATGTAACATACACAGTACAGGGGTCATGAGTATGTAACATACGGAGTGCAGGGTCAGGAGTATGTAACATACACAGTACAGGGGTCATGAGTATGTAACATACAGCGTGCAGGTTAAAGGTTCAAGTCTCATATTTGTCTCTCAGGTCCTTCACTCCATCAGAGCTCATCCAGCTCAGCAAACATAGCAAAACTGTAAAACATTATTGCACAGCATAAAGGTCACACCGTTGAGTTTAACCAGTGTAGCGAGCGTGCAACACAGTCCCGACATTAGGCCACACCCCTCTGATGCATTTCGCCCTGATAGGGCTGATTCATAGAGGCTACTAGAGGCTGCTGGGAACTGCTGT